CTTAAGTTTCGTCGGAACGAAGTTACGGAAAGTTAATTAACAAACGGAGACGTAACAGCGGGTTCTTTCAGATTAACAAGTGAAAATAATTCAACGTTCAGTCTAATGAAACGAAAACATCTAACTTATTTCTTCTTTTTACGTTTATCACAAACTCAAACATTGTTGTAACTTGTAGGCCTAAGTTTTCAGCTACTCTAAGTGTTCTACACAATGTTTAAATCAACTTGCTTGTACAAAGTAGCACAATATCTAACACAGACTCACTTTCGATCAAACTTCAACTCAGCTCCAGCTAAGGTTTCACGGAACGTAGGTTATAGAATCTACGTTTAAATATACCAGAACTATACATGACATCCCTAGAGTTTTCTGGAAATTTTAGGCCTGTACTTAACGTCTTCAAGGACTCTCAGATCTTTCTATATTACATGCAAGTTACAACAGCTTTCTCTAGCCAATAAACAACATTAAAAATGTATAGCTAAGATCAGTATATTTATACAGTATATAATACTTTTATCTTTTGATAATAGTATGTATATATGATATAGAACATATATTTTCTCGTATTAGTGTGTTCATAAAGTATACAACGTATTTATTTTCACATATTAGTATATTTATATGGCAAGGAATATCTTTATTTTATCATATTAATATGTCTATACATTATAGAGTATCTTTATTTTCTGATTGTTTGTATATTTGTATAGTACAGAACATCTTTAAATAAATATTTTTAATTTTGTTGAAGAAAGCTTTACACAAAACAATATATGAAACGTTTTTCTCCTCAACAGGCCTTAGCCCCGTTATTGGAGTACTTGGACAGTAACTTGAAGTGTTATTACAACGGCACGTACAGAACCAACTTTGATCGAGTGCTCGTTTCAATCTGGAAGTCTGTTCTTCAGGAAATGACAGTTACAGTCCAGGGAAACGCTGGGGTACGTATTGAAGAAAATGTTGTGTATATATCTTAGTATTTGTATTATGTATCCTTCCACTCGTTCTTCTGTCATAAAACATTAATATGTTTTCAGTCGCAAATATTTAATTCTGAGACGAAGGGGCGTTGATCCAAGCACTTTTTGTATTGGTTTGTTAAACAGAATTGATAAAAGAAACCTGGATGAAATAGTTTGAAACTTCAAAATTACTTTTTAAAGATTATGTAGTTTCTGCAAATAACATATTGTTGCGTCAGCGAAGTCACGTGACTAGTATCACGCCACATCCTTCTAGAAATATCCTGTTCCTTCGTGAATGCTCTAGCATTTACTAGAGATGTGTTAGTCTTGTATATATAAGACGGTCACAACGTGACGGGACAATGTGTAATTGAACTGAGTATTGTTGAAGTCGAGCACGTGAGACGTTTGTTGAGAATTATAGCGTTTGTTATAGCGCGACTGTTGAAATTAAGTGTATCGCAAAGTTATATTCAGAAAGAATAAACCAGTTTTATTTAAGAAAGGACTTGTGTCGCTAAAGTTTCGTCGGAACGAATCTACGGAAAATTAACTAACGAACGGAGACGTAACAATATCATGTTTTTATTTGTGATATTTATCTGAAGTCGCAGCTTTAAAATTTCGAAAAGATTTTACTTTGATACGTTTTTAAGAAGCAATAAAAATGCTTATTTTGATCTTCCTACATTATTTTAAAATTTTGATACAAAGTTTTTATTTTATAAAACTATAAATTGTACCTTTGTTTTGATTCAAAAACAAGGCACGCACTATGTTTTAAATAACTGTCATGGCATAAGAATAACTTTTTACCCTGCCGAACAGTTAATCAGAAGGTTTCATTTAATATATTTAATAATTTTTTACTCGTGTTCTTTTCAGTTATATATATTTTTTGGACATTTCTTTCTC